CCTAGATTGGGATGTAGAGAGGTGTCTTGCTGTGTCTGCTCATCGCGATTCCTGGAGGAGGGAATTGTTATTTTCCTCTGGTTGTTGTGCGGGATATTAAGGCAGTTAATTGGATGGCAGTTAAAGCTGTCAAATATAAATTTAGAACAATCCTCCCCTGGTCAGAGCCACTTCAGCTGGGTCAATCACAGAGCAGCAGGAGGCTAACGGCGTGAATCTTCTATCTGTCTGTCTATCTATCTTTATCTGTCTTGCTGTCCTGTCTATCTATCTATCTATCTATCTATCATCTAATCCTATCTATCTATCTATCTGAAGTGTTTTTTCGTAATGAATTCACGCTTTGTTTTTTGGGCTTGTGCACGCGGTGTCTGTGCACCCCTGCGCGCGCACGTGTGCGTGCTCACCGCCCCCCGGGTCTGCTCCGCTTTAATATCCTGCAGGTTGATGAAGCTTGGCGGGGAGATTTTTTTCCACACTCCGCTGGCAGCGTTAATAGAGGCTCCCCTCCCTCCCCTCCCTCCCTTTACTCTCCCTCCTTCCCTCCCTGCCTCCCCCGGCCTCGTCCGGCTGTTTGATGTGGAAATGAAAGCTGGGAAAAGGCTAAGAAAGAGAAGTGTCTCAATGGGTTAAATTAAAAGCAATGGTGTTCTTGCAGAGTCACCACCGTGCAGTCTATAGAGAAGATAGCGGAGGCTGCTGGTTCAACCGCAGTGAGTGCTTTGTCTGTTGGTGTTTACCGGGAAAAACACGTTTTCTTTATGGGGTTTAAAGGTTATTCTGCAGCTTTTCACTATTAGATCAATGTGCGTGCACTATGTTACAACTGTAATATAGTTTATATTTATGAAAATCACATATATTGACAGTGTACTTTTTTATTACTCACCGTATTTTCAGTATGTGTATGAATTTACTTAAAACAACATGACATTAGCACTAATGAATTATCAGCTTCATATGCATTAAAATGTAATTAATAATATAGAATAAACTTTTATCTTATATCTATGTGTACATAAATACAAATAATAAATATATTCCTGAGGAAATATAGCCTAGTGTTAGATGTGATAATAATACTAATAATAAACATTATCTATATATTTTAAACAAAAAGATGCACAGCGTGTTTCACTTAAGATGGAAAAATACACAGGAAAAGACACAAAACAGACAATATAAAATAGTATTTTTTCATTCAATATTTACATTTTTATGGACTTTAAATTTAAGTTTCTATATATAGTTTGTTCAAATGAGGAGTGTTTTCTACTAAATGACATTTCCAAGCACAAAATAACAACAATCACCTTCACTGAAGCCCACTGAGACTCCAGTTACAGCAATCAAAACAAATCAGAGGCTTATAAATGAGAATAGTGAGAATAAGCCAGCAGGTATTATTCATAAGGAGGTGATTATAGCCTGTAAGTAATCAAACAATCATCCATTTAAAAGTATGAGCTTTGCTGTTGAGTTAAATGAACTAGGAGCTATAATTCAACAATCTCATTTAATAACTTTAGTTTTTACTGTCAGGTTCATTCTGAATGTTTAAGTTTACATTCAATCAGAAAGTGTCAGTGTGTGGAAATGATAGTGAGAGGAAAACAGACTTTATAACCAATTCTCCTTAAATCTCTCCTTCTCAAATACATGTAAATACATCAACTCTGAAACATGAAAGTCACAATATTCTCCATTACTCACAGCCGTCGTATTTGTTTCTTCTCGCTGCTCCCGTCGTCTCCTCTGTCCTCGACTTGTTTAATGTAAAACTTCATTACACTCCTGACAACACCGGCGCCGCTACACTTTATCAATATGTCTTGTCGGTTTCCAGGGACAACATAATATCTTTAGTTACTTTACTGTACTGTAATATTTCCTTAAGCTTCTTTCTCTTTTATGCATTTTGCTTTTTTTTGACAACTACTTTTTCATTCTGACTTGCAACATTAAATGAGTTAATGACTTAAAAATGCATTTCAAATAGACAGAAACTTTTGTCAGAGAGTGTGTTTGTCTGAGCAGTGCACGAGTAGAATGTGTGTGTGTGTGTGTGTGTGTGTGTGTGTGTAATTAATCCATTATCAATGAATTTGGAGATAATTTTGACCATAGGGGCAGCTTTTAGAGATCTACTTCTTGGTTTAGTTTCACTGCTTAAAATATTGTCTACCTTGAGGTCAGTCTGGGTTTGCAGTGTCCCCAAACGTGTGTGTGTGTCCAGGTGAGTATGACTTTAAAAGTAGTGCTGTGATGTTCACACGTCTCAAGTTCCATGACATTTATGAGTGTTCATCCCCCCTCCTCCCCCAGGTCATGGGGGTCTTAACCAACTAGGTGGAATGTTTGTTAATGGACGCCCGCTTCCGGAGGTGATCCGGCAACGCATTGTGGACATGGCCCACCAGGGGGTTCGGCCCTGTGACATCTCCCGGCAGCTCCGAGTCAGTCACGGCTGCGTCAGCAAGATCCTGGGACGGTGAGCACGTCAGCAAGCGCCTTACTCAACTTCCTGTTACTGTTAATCAGCCTGTTCTTTGACCTCTGAAAGCCTGTTTACTTATCCGGGGACACTTTGGTGATGTGTTTGTGAACCTTTACTGGCTTTACTCCAGTACACACAGTCATCCATAACACCTTCCTCCTCTTCAATCCTTTCTTCCAGTTACTACGAGACAGGCAGCATCAAGCCCGGCGTGATCGGCGGCTCCAAGCCCAAGGTGGCCACCCCGAAGGTTGTGGACAAAATCGCAGAGTACAAAAGGCAAAATCCCACCATGTTCGCCTGGGAGATCAGGGACAGGCTGCTGGCAGAGGGAGTGTGTGACAGCGACACGGTGCCCAGCGTGAGCTCCATTAACAGGTGACAAACTGAATTATTAATGAAATCGTGTTAGAGGTACAAATTTGCCCCCTGTTGCTCGGATTTAGATATCTGAGTGCATATTCCTGAACTTTCCTTCTCTACATCTCTTATCGTTGATATGCTAATCATTATGGCAAAACAACATTTCAAGAGAGTGTTTAATGTTAAATGATTGTTTTTTTGTTTCAGAATAATTCGAACGAAGGTCCAGCAGCCGTTCAATTTGCCTCTGGATGGAAAAGGCCTGAGTCCAGGACAGACCTTAAGTGAGTCTTGCACACGTGCACTATTATGGCTATATCTCCATCCATATCACCAAGTATTATCATGTGATGGTTAAGGATTAAGGTTAAAGATTAAAGAGCGAGCTTATTGTTGTTTAGGATTAAGCTCCTGACCTTGGGGGTGACGGGACCAGTGAGATGTACAGTATCATTTTCACTCTGTGTCTCAAAATCTGTCTGTCTGTCTTTGTCTCTCTTTCAGTCCCCAGTTCGGCAGTTACTCCTCCCGAGTCTCCACAGTCAGACTCTCTGGGCTCCACATACTCCATCAGTGGTTTGTTGGGTATCCCCCAACCCAGCGCCGAGGGCAAGAGGAGCCACGATGACAGTAAGAATTAGATCAAATGACTGAGAAACCACACACTGGCATCATTTCGTTTTCGAAGGAAGCCCATCAGACGTGTAATTTTCTGTTAGTTTTGGAGCAAGGAATTTCCAAATACAAGCACTTACATTCAGCCACTTTTCTCAGGTTAATGTTTAGTTTCTGACTAGATCTGTCGCATAAAGCAGAGTCGGTATCCTGCCAAAAGTCCTCCACTCGTAAATATCATGTTTTGAAAAGCTGAAAAACACTTAAAATTTCTTTATTTAATAACTCATTTGACCTTTATTTTACCTGATATTAATTAAGAACAAGTTTTTCTGTCACAAGGGAGAACATGCCAAGAGGCATCAAACAAAGTGCAATGAAGTNNAATTCAAAATACTTACATTCGTCCTTTAAAGGGCAAATTGAGGCATGCTGGTGTCACAGCACATGACACCCTGTTTCCTATATTGTCGTCTTGCATGAAAGTGAACCACATTATGTTTGGTCATAATATCAGAATGAGAGTCATGAGAGTCAACGATCATCTGTGTTTCTTAGGTGATCAGGAGAGTTGTCGGCACAGTGTGGACTCTCAGGGCAGTGGAGGGGTCCCGAGGAAACAGATGAGACTGGATCACTTCTCCGCAGCCACGCAACATCTGGACTGTGGGTTCGACCGTCACCACTATCCCCCGGACTCATTCGGCTCGGCCTCCAGCAGCAAGACAGAGCAGGTAAAAACAAGTCTTATGTAAAATATGCACTCAGAAAGAACTTGTAAGGAGCTTAAACAGCTCCAAAGTGAACACAGGCATTTGTAGATGTACTTTTTTTAGTCTTATTAGATTTCTTTCTCC